ATTATTTGAAATTTACTGCTTAAAATCAATTTAAAATTTAAATAAGAGTTGTTATTTATAAAAATTATAAATCATAAATCGAAATACACTATTTATTTAAAAGCACCAAGACACACAGTGGTCTAGATGCTAAAGCATATTTTAATATGATGTTGGTTCATGTCAGTCTGCTCACATCTGGAGATATAGGTGGCCATGAGAATTGTTTTCTATACATCCATTACAGCTGAAATCAATGTTGGCAGTGAGGATGGTGAATTCTAATTGAGTTATCTGTGTTTTAATCCATTCGAATTGTTTTATGGGACTGAGATGAGCAAATTACGAAGACCTATCCAGTTTTTGATCCTACATTATCTCAAACTAGAGCTGCACGAGTCTCGATGTGGGAGTGGAACAACCCACTGAAAAAGAAATGAGCCTTCTTCGATTGCTATATTGCCATAGATTTAGCCGTAGATTTAGTCATAGATTTTGCCATAGATATTAAACTCTTTTATGAATTCAATTTGAAAGTTTATGAATCGAATAATTTGTTTTGATTACGTTTTTGATTGATTTTTGAAATGGAAAAAAGGTTCTTACACAGTAAAAAATTTCTGATTAAATTACGGTAAAGAGTTCAGGAAACCGATACTTTTTACCATAAAATCCATTTTTACCGTAATTTGTTCTGGAGCGAAATATCTGATGAACCGTATTTTTTACCGTAACAATTACCGTAAAATCACTAAATCACTCGAATTAAATAAACATTATTGAAAAAATTACGGTATAATATTTTAGAGCAAAAATGGAAGTTACATTAAAATTGATTTCAAGGATGATGCACTCAAAGTGCTGGTATTTTATATCGTAATTTGATCCGGAATTTTTTACATTGCAGTGTATTTGACAGCAGCAATTAACAAATAACATTTAAAAGCCTATTTTATAGCAATAAATTAATCTCACAAAAGTGCATTTAGGCTTTATAGATTTCATCCATTTAGTAACTGGTGCGCACGAAATGCAGACGAGGTAAAAAACCAATTAAGGACTAACTAGAAGAGGTAAAAAAACTATTTTCAAATTGTCAATCCATAAACTTTAAAGATGATTTGCTCAATTCACTAAACTGCCACTTAGATCTTTCACCCATTCAGCTTTTCAATCAAGAAATATTTCCATCAAAAACTTATTATCTTGGACGAAGAAATAAAAAAAAAAGACATTTCCGCTACAGCCTATTGTGGGCCAGAGGAGTCATGGATTTTAAAGTTCTACAATTTCGTGATGATGCAATTTTATAATGGTGGCAGTGTGGTCAACATTGCGTACCGACCGTCTTTACTTACCAGACAAGCTGGTATTAAATGTGCAACTAGGTAAACTTCAAGCTGCTCTCGGGGATCGAACCCCAGTCCTTTACAGCAGTGTTCCCCAACCCCCGGTCCGTGGATCAAATGGTGCTGGGCCGCCCATTTCATTGAAACTGAATTTAAGTTTCAAGGTTTATATCCCAAATTAAAAATATCTGTGCTCCATTAAAATTTTATTTATTTAAAAAAGGGGCCCCCGAAGGTAGTGACATAAATTTTTTAATGTTTGTTATGTATCATTGTCTTCGATTACCCCCAGATGGAACCATCTCATTGCAAAGAAACAACTTCAGTGTTCTCATTGATTTAATGTTCTAGTAAGTTAAAATGTTAAATCACTTTATACTTATTTTTTGGTATAACTGTATTTTATTTTGAAGGCATATTTAAATGCAATTAAATTAATAATGCAAAATAATCTAATATATAAAGAATCAACGTCCCCACTCCCCGCCCCAACGGGCCGCGGTAAAATTATCAAACGTTGTCTGGTCCGCGGTGATAAAAAGGTTGGGGAACACTGCTTTACAGTGACAACTTAGCGCCTTACTCAGTGGGCCATTATCTTTGAAGCAGTTATTTATACATTTGGAAAAACTTTCTTCTTAAAATTGAAATAAAAATTACTACAAAACACTCATTCGGAGAATTCTAGAAAACAATTCCAAATTATCAAGGCTTAAAAAAAATTCCAAGTAATCAAAGNGGTTTCAAAAAGTTCTTAAACAAAAATACATATGAATAAATATTCTTAAAGAACAAATGAGTATATTTTTCACTAAAACAAAAGAAGTGACTCCTCAAAACACTTGGAAAATGGAAAACTGTAAATCCAATCAATATAATTCTGCGCGCATCAGAAATTAATGCTGTTAAAATTTTTTAAAAATTGAATAAAATTGTAAGAGTCATCTTGTTTGTTATTCGATACAAAAAAAAACGTTGTCTGCAAAAAACTGCATTCAAACTTAAGTCAAGGTTAGGAAGAAAAAAAAAGAGTTGTAAATAATCTTGCTTTTTGAAACGTAAAATTAAAGAGCGATTAAAATTTCCTACATCTGCAGAAATATTTTGAGTAAAGAGCAATAAAAACAACATACAATTTTATTATCTTCATTCAAACAAATACCCAAACGAGGCATTTTTTTTACGTCTACTTTATTTAAAAAAAAATTAAATTTACAGCCTCAATGCGTCATTTCTTCGAATATTCTTTAGAAGTAAATGAATTTCGGAAGCAATCTAAAATGAGAATTTGTTTGCTACTAACTTAATGCTTTTGGTACCTCGGTGATTTTATGTCACAGAAGTAGGTGTTATTTTTCATAATTATTCATTAATCTGCAAATTTTTATTTAATCATTTGAAGTTTACTGTTTAAAGTCAATTAAAAATTTAAATAGGAGTTGCTATTTATAAAAATTATAAATAATAAAGCGAAATTACGCTATTAATTCAAAAGCACTTAGTGGTCTTTTGAAGTCAAGGCACACAGTGGTCTAGATCAGGGGTTTCCAACTAGCATGAGGCCGGGGGCCACAATTAAAAACACAAATCAAACGGCGGGCCGCAACTTTATCAAAATTTTGTGAAGGACTCTTTTACGTTTGAAGGAACATTAAATATTACTGTCCTACTTTTACCAAGTTGTACAAAACAAAAGTATTAAATTACAAATTAAAATAAGAAGTTTATTTTTAAAAATATTTAATTGCTATTAATAATATTTTTAAAAATATTAAATAAATAATAAAAGTTCGGGTCAATAACTTAATGTGCATCTATGTATTAAACAATTAATGTGCAACAGATATCTAATTGTTAAGGTATTAAAACTAATATAGTAGCACACAAAATATTCAATGAGAAAATTGAGGTTTGTCTGCTGCAACCACCAGAGAATAAATATTTACATTTTAAATGTAAAATTTACAAATGTGCGTGAAAATATTTTCGTCCAAAATGAGTGGTTTCAAAAAGTTAAATCGGAGAGTTTCTTCGAGAAAATTTTTGATACGCACACGCTAAGTTATATTCACAAAATACAAAAAAAATGAAATAAAAAAGAGCAAACATATACGATTATTTTTGTATTTGAATAAATATTTTCTTGGATGCAAAACCTGAAAAATAAATTTCTTTGCACCGTTGGTATGTTAAATTTCACAGAAACGAAGAAATTAGGTTTTTTTTTAACGAGAAAAGTATTTAAAACCCGCATTGAGTTTTTACGAAAATTGTCCGCAAGAGAATGACAACTAATATATTTTAGCTCGCGGGCCACACAAAAAGGCTTCGCTGGCCGGATGCGGCCCTCGGGCCGCCAGTTGGAAGCCCTTGGTCTAGATGCTATGCTAAAGCATATATTAATATGATATACTTTATATCGTAATACTGGTACTTTGTATCGCAATTTGATCCTGAATTTTTTACGCTGTAGTGCATTTTACAGCAACAATTAACAATTAATGTTTAAAAGCCTCTTTTTTAGTAGTAAATTTATCTTCCGAGAGTACAGATTTCATCCATTTTGTAGCTGGTGCGCAAAAAGTAAAGACGAGGTACAAAAACTATTTTCAAATTGTTAATCCATAAATTTAAAAGCTAATTTGCTCAATTCACTAAAATGCCACTTAGACCTTTCACCCATTTAGGTTTTCAATCAAGAAATATTTCCATCAAAAACTTATTATCTTGGACGAAGAAATAAAAAAAAGACATTTTCGCTACAGCCTATTGTGGGCCAGAGGAGTCATGGAGGTTAAAGTTCTACAATTTCGTGATGATGCAATTTTATAATGGTGGCAGTGTGGTCAACATTGCGTACCGACCGTCTTTACTTACCAGACAAGCTGGTATTAAATGTGCAACTAGGTAAACTTCAAGCTGCTCTCGGGGATCGAACCCCAGTCCTTTACAGCAGTGTTCCCCAACCCCCGGTCCGTGGATCAAATGGTGCTGGGCCGCCCATTTCATTGAAACTGAATTTAAGTTTCAAGGTTTATATCCCAAATTAAAAATATCTGTGCTCCATTAAAATTTTATTTATTTAAAAAAGGGGCCCCCGAAGGTAGTGACATAAATTTTTTAATGTTTGTTATGTATCATTGTCTTCGATTACCCCCAGATGGAACCATCTCATTGCAAAGAAACAACCTCAGGGTTCTCAGTGATTTAATGTTCTAGTAAGTTAAAATGTTAAATTCCTTTATACTTATTTTTTGGTATAACTGTATTTTATTTTGAAGGCATGTTTGAATACAATTAAATTAATAATGCAAAATAATCTAATATATAAAGAATCAACGTCCCCACTCCCCGCCCCAACGGGCCGCGGTAAAATTATCAAACGTTGTCTGGTCCGCGGTGATAAAAAGGTTGGGGAACACTGCTTTACAGTGACAACTTAGCGCCTTACTCAGTGGGCCATTATCTTTGAAGCAGTTATTTATACATTTGGAAAAACTTTCTTCTTAAAATTGAAATAAAAATTACTACAAAACACTCATTCGGAGAATTCTAGAAAACAATTCCAAATTATCAAGGCTTAAAAAAAATTCCAAATAATCAAAGTGTTAAAAAAGTTTTTTTCCTGTTAAAAATTACCCAGATTAATGGAATATTATAAATACGGGAAACGTTTTAATCGAGTGCTCATCGGAGGTTATAAAATAAAATACTTAAAACTCATCTACGCGTTGACTTTTATTTGCTATGCCGGTTTTTTATGTACATCCAAAAAAATTACGAAATATAAAACGGAAGATTTTTCTCCAGATTTCGATATTTAACCGAAGAGAAAAAGCTATAAAAAACAAATAAAAAAATAAACTCCTTTACTCGTAAGCGCATTAGAAAGGAAAATAAATTAGATTTTGAAAGCTTAGAAATCTTGCTTAAAGCATTCCCAATAAAATCACTTTTTCCACACCACATAACACGAAGGTCGAGCGTTATGAAAGTCGAAGAGCCATTGAAGAATGAAATTCACACCTTTTGATCTAAAAATACTTTGTATAACGACCGCAGATTGGATACATTAAAAGCAAGGTAAGTTACACGTATTTTTTTTAATGCTAAATTCACGAAGCTAAAATATTGTATATCATTTTGGACTTATTTTTAGTTTGAACAATAGACTTTTAATACTTTGTTTTTTATATCAATATTATTCTATCTTCTCTATTCAGAGTTTTGTTTCTTTCTCGATTTTGAATATATTCTTTCATGTTTGTAATAGTAAAAACTGTTTTGGTGCGTGTAAAATTATTGCAAAAAATTCACATTTCTGAAACTTTAACATGGTTTTCAAGTTTAATTTTATTATCGTTATTTTTAACCTTGAATACACGTATCAGGTGGTGCACAAAGAAGAGGGGTGTAGATGCTCGGAGTTATCTCTTTGATTACATACCCCTGAAATATTAAACATACCTTAATTACTGATTTAAAATGGTTATTGTATAATTTTTGTTCAAAAAAAAATTTATTTTCAATTGTTTCTCTTTAGAGTAGGTACTTTTATAGTTGTTAAGCTTTGAAATTCGATGCTGAAGTCAAACGTGTTGACATTATTTTGTGCTCTAAAAAAATAACATTTTGTAAAACAGTTCAAATAATTAAATTTAATAATTCAGTTCAAAAAGTGCAATTTTTAAAAGAAAATTTATTATGTTGGAAAATGTATGAAGTCCAACTATTCTTTCATGTACAGTAAAAGTGCTGCATAAAAATATCTTGTTGTTGAAAAATGTCTATATTTTGAAACGTTGCCAATTGGTTTGTCACCCTAAATTACTCATTATGCCTTATTAAGATGTATATATTTTTCATGAAAGGTCAGCGTAAATGCTCATAAATTTCTCAATAGAGGACATTTGTCGAAGAATAAAGCAATAATCATTTGTCAAAAAATAAAAAAATTAATTAGGAAACAATATAAACTTCAAAAAAATTTTTAAAAAATATAATATTTAGCGCGTTATTGATATTTTTTTATTTCTATTCTTTTTTCTTTTAAACTGACTTCCCAGTCATTGGAAAACAGATTCGATGCTGAACCATAACGTGAACTTTAACCATAATATCGGTATCTTGACACCACGAGAAAAATTGGAAAACCTGAATCTCGAGCTCCTCCCCTCCCCTTTTTTTTCAAATTGTAAAGGAAAAATTGATTAAAATCCGATTAGCATGTTTGCTCTTAGCCCTGTTTTCAGAAGTGAGCTTAAACCCGAATTTAATTGAAAAGGATAATGGATAAAAACTGGATAAAAACTATGGATAAAAACTATCCAGATAAGGGAATGATGTCTACCGATGATTTTTTTAAGCTGATTAGTTTTTAATATACTGAAACTAAACCGGTGATATGGTTTAAAAATTTTAGGAATTTTTAAGTATAAAAAAATTACAATTTTCGTCCTACTAACTTAGCTAATCTGATATTGCTATCTAGACAAGGGAAGTATTGTTTACTATTTATTTTTTTAGGCAAAATATAAAGACATTAACCCCAAGTTGACAGAAATAATAGTTTTAAAATTATATGGGCTTTATGTATAGAAATTAGCTGCGCTAATAATCCTTAAAACCTCAAACTATTTGTTCAATCAGCTTAATCTTCATTTCATTGAATTTAGCGTATTTGTTCTTTTTTTATCCTAAAAATCATTATATCATCTTCACTATTGGTCATTCGATCATAAATTTTGTTTTATTTATTTTGCTTAAAGAAAATATCTCATATCAGAAGAATTTTTTTCATTTTTCTTCAGATAGAAATATTAAACAAGTAATCAGGTTTATGTTAAAAAATTGTACTGTTCTTACGTAAAAACTTAATGATTTCTAAATTATTAGTTTTATCGAGTGTTGGTTTATTTGATTAAAATCAATGAAATACATAAGAAACAATAACTCATTTGTGTAATTAGAAAATTTAAGTTTTTGTCTCTTTGCCCTTTACTTTCTCATTAAATTCAAGATGGCAACTAAATCTCACCTTAGAAGAGGAAGTATAATTGTTTAGAAAATAAAGAGCATAAGAAATTTCTCTTTTCACAACTCTAATACTCATTGTTTCTACATCTAGATGACACAAATGATTGGTGAGCTTGCTAAAAGGCTATTTGTTTAGTTGTTTAACCGGTTTATATTGGACACGACTATAAATAATGCACAAAGAAAAACTTCTTCAGTAAATAAAAGCATAATTACACATTTAACAAGAATTCTGGTAATAAATATGCATCCAAAACTAACGGTATTTAAACCATTTATTTGATGATCTTTCTGTTCATTAAGATAACAGTTATTAGAAATTCCGGTTTTAAAAAGTATAGCTCTTATTACCTTTATATTAAATAAAAAGGCAATGCTGAAAAACCAGTTTTTTAGAAAAAAAATTGGGTTTCACAATCGGAATACAACACATTATAATAATTCTGAAGATTCACGATAAAATTACCAGACCACTGTATAGAATACATCGTTCATTTTACAACAGATTTACGAAAACATTTTACGAAATGTATTGTAAAACGAATGATGTATTCTATACAATGATCTGAAAATTTTATCGTGAATATGCTATAGACAATATGATATAGAATACGTCATTCATTTTACAACACATTTACGAAAAAATTTTACGAAATGTATTGTAAAATGAATGATGTATTCTATACAATGATCTGAAAATTTTATCGTGAATATGCTATAGACAATATGATATAGAATACATCATTTATTTTACAACACATTTACGAAAACATTTTACGAAATGTATTGTAAAATGAATGATGTATTCTATGCAATGATCTGAAACTTTTATCGTGAATATGCTGTGAAAACCGATTTTTAACGACTTACATCGTAGTTTGATCTACCGAACGAAGTGACATTAACACCCATAATTTGCTTACTATTAATCATGCTATGACCCACCAACTAAATGAGGCGGCGATGTGTTAATATGTGAATATAAATATAGGTCGTTCATTTACTTCAACGTGCTGTAAGTAACTATTTTAACTAAATTTAACATGTAATAGCGATGATAAGTTTTCAGGTAGATTATTTAGATTTAAAAAAATTAAAATCAGCAATTAATTTTCTCTAAAAAAAGGTTTTTGTGTTTTTTTTCCTTTCATATTGCTTACATTGACTTATATAGTTTTGGTTAAGTTCAAATCATTAACGCGCATTGCGCCATAAAATTTATGCGCATTTTAAGTTGAGTGTAAATTTTTATTAATAACTGACGAAGAATTTTTTAAATCAATTTTTGGTCCGAGTTTAATGTAAGATTTTTAATGAAAAATACATGCTTTTTTATCTTTCTTATTCCCTTTTACTCTAGTTCACCATTTCAATCTAAGTTTCACTTAGTTTTAATTTTTTTCTTACATATTTAAGGGATTTTTTTGTTGATCAAACTAACTTAATATACAGCTCGTATTTTCTAAAAAATGCTTCAAAAGAGAGCTAAATCAAAATGCTAAACACAACTCATAAATATCGTTAGTTTTTCAAAACCAGTTTTTTAAGAAATCTTTCGAAAAATATAACTTTTTTCAAAATAAAGTCAGCATCATCATCATCTTCTTTTTTTTTTGATTAAATAAAATACGAACTTAATAAATTGAATAATTTCCTATCCCTCTCAAACATATGAATAAAAACTTTTACATAAAAGTTACATAATTTACATTAAAACATTCTCCTCCTCAAAAAGCTTTACTTCAAAGCTTTTCTAAAGGCATTAGAATCACTTGCCAAATTCAAGTGAGTCCACAACTCTCTCTCAATTGCCTCTTCTGAGCGTAACCAGTAATCCAATGACAAAATTCAAAAACATACTTCCATTTACGTCTAACATACATAAAAAAATGTGACATGTAGTGCAGTATTCTTTTAATAAAAAAATGACACTGTCTCTTGAAATTTCCCTATCTGTGCTATGATAGATTTTCAATTATTACTCCTATATGAAAAAGTATAATACCGTTCGAATAATAATTTTGAAGAAGAAATAAATGTAAGTTGCCTTATTCCAATAATCAAATAATTGGATCGTGAGCAACTGGCTCGCCCGTCGCATTACACACACAAATGTATTTCTGAGAGGAGGCAGAAGGTAATTTTATTTATGTTCTTTATATTTTTATCAACCTGCACTTTTCTACTAATAAAATTTACACGGTAAAATTTTTAAGTGCTCCTCAACACCAAAAGAGCTGTATTAAAACCCTGTATTCAATACAGCTGTATTTAATATAACTCTTGGATCTAGTGCTTGGATACACGCATATATGGCAGTACTTTTACTTTCGTTACTTGTACCGCCGGTTCAAGTAAAAAGCACGTACTTTTACTTGTACTTCGTTACTTTTTAAATTTAGTACTTTTACTTGTACTTTCGTTACTTTTTTAGGGAAAAAGTACAAGTATTTGTAACGGAAATGTCGAATGAAATCGTTACTTTTTTCTAAAACTCGGTAAGCTTTCTAAAAAAAAATTTAAAAAAATGCTGTCAAAATGCAATTATTTTGCAAAATGAATAAAAATATTAATTTGGAAGTTATTTTCATTCATTTCCGAGTTTTATGCATTTGTTTAATACATTTTAAATAAAAATTGTTGGATTTTGTTATTACGTTTTTCAATTTTCTTTTTGATCTCACTAATAATACATTTTTGTCTTAATACATTTTTTACTAAATACATTTTTACCTAGTACATTTTTTCCTAAAATTATGTTTATGCCCGACCTTGTCAAACAACGCC